TTTCCCCCACCGTAACAAACCCACTGCTGTTCTTTTGATTCCTCTTGAGTTCCATATAATACATTGTTCCTTAGACTGGGTAAAGTATATTTTGGAGAAAAGCCTGATTTCATGCAGTTAGCGCTCCTTTCTTTATGTGACTGTAATACCACTCTGCTCAGCAATATAACCATTATTTCATGTATTGCTGTAATTTGGGATCTCTGTTACTATGCTTTTTGCTTTGAATACGATTTTAAAAAGTCGAAAAAATGTGATCATGTCGTTAATTTACTATGAATTTCTTACCTCTGATTTAATAACTAGATTTATGCATTGTATTTTTATTGATATTGGTGTTAATAGTTATTCAAAGTATGATTATTAATTATATTAAACAGCAGTAATAGTATTGCATGTCAAGTTCACAAATTATCAACCGCTACAACCAATAATATTTATTGCTCATTGTATTACACTACACTAAAACTTAATTACTCACAGAAGAAAACTGGATGGATTTAGATTGGAATAAATAAGGAGAGGGACAAGAATCAGCTGGCTGGTCTACGATTTGTCCCATGGATGTCCCCCAAAAAGCATTATGTGACTCATTGAGAATTTAACTGTCTAGTTATTTTTGGTGTATGATATAAACATGATGGTTCTGTATGTATCTATGTCTAATATTAACCTGATATAAGTTATGAACACATTTCAGTTGGCTATCTAGCATAAATATTGCAAATGAGATATACATTGTTGTAAATAAGTAGCATTAAGATTAAATCTTTATAAATAGCGTAAGTAATTTAGACATAAAGCTTTTAGACACAAAGTCGCATCGCACAAACACATGTGCAGCTCCATTAGTCATGACTATACTAAAACCACCAGTTGTGTAATCCCACCAGGTATCGACAGAGCTATCACACCATCAATCTTCCCTGTGTGTACATCCCTTTATAAGAACAATTAGCACAACCATTATCTCTTCAAAATTCTACTAGCAAACAAAAATTATTGTTAACATATATTAAAGTTTCAAAGGTGTCTCCAACAGAAATGTTGTCAGGAAATGTCACGCATTAATTAAATGTAATTAAAGAACACATCCTTTGGGTATTAACGTCAAAATATCTATTCCCTGTCACCACAGTATTGGCCTGGAAATCTTTAATAACTAAAGTAGGACAATGAATGCATGACTGCGGTGATCATAGGTGACATTTTGTTCTGAGTCAAGTGAAAGTGCGTTGTGTCACGGGGGATTCTTTGTATACCTGTCAGGATAATGTTGGCTTTCTGCGGTACTACATTATTCTAAAATGTTTTGTTTTAGCTAGACCTTCTTTGTCTCAGTGTAATTTCAATCAGTCAAACCTAGCATATCATTAAATACTGTGTTCAAAAGATAAAATCATATCACGTCAATGTTTCTATTCAATATGCAGTGAGTTGTGGTGAATTGAGAACTGACATTTATAATTAAAGCATTTAATTGTCAATTTGGAAACAAATGTCCAACTCTGCCAGATTGGATATTTTTTTTTTTTTTAATAACTTTCTTATTGTAACCCAAATGCTGCTAATTGGTTATAAACTTTCCACAACAGATTGTTTAATGAATAAACGTTCATGATAATCAAAGAGCGGCCACCCAGCCACAGTAATTAGAACAGCTATATATTTCACTTGCTCTGGGGTGGTACGTGAATGGTGAGGCTGACAGGCATGTGGAACTTATATTAAAGGAACACTATAGTGTCACAACACAAACATGTATTCCTGATCGCATGGTGTTAAAAACACCATCTAGCCCCTCTGGTCCCCCTCACCTCCTAAATATAGTAAAATCTTACCTTTATTCCAGTCTGCTACTGCAGGCTCCGACCCTGATCTGCCTATTTGGCTGACATCATCAGAAGTGTTGGTCTCAGCCAATCACAATGCTTTCAAATATGAAAGCAAAATCCAGGTATTCAACAGTGTATCATAGAACAATGTATGTCAATTAAAATCTACAGTCCATCTTTTAATTAAAAAACAAACAAACCATAAGATAATAGTTTAATTGTTCTATTAAGATTCAAAAATAAGAATTTCTGTGACTCCTTCTCTTGTAATATTGGGCTGGATACTATTGTTTTTAATATCTTCACAATGTCAGTTGAACAAACCTGATTTTGTTATATATTGAAGTTCATTACTCAGTGTGTAATTGCTTTTTTTGTTTGTTTGTTTGTTATTTTAGGCTATGGACATGCTGCTCCAAGCACTGACGGAGGGAAGGTCTTCTGTATGTTTTATGCTCTCCTGGGAATCCCATTGACCCTGGTCATGTTTCAAAGCCTGGGCGAGAGGATAAATACCCTTGTTAAGTATCTTCTTCATCGTATAAAGAAGTGCCTTGGCATGAGAAGAGCTGAGGTATCTATGGCCAATATGGTCACTATTGGATTCTTCTCATGCATTAGCACCTTGTGCATTGGAGCTGCTGCTTTTTCGTATTATGAACAATGGACCTTTTTCCAGGCCTATTACTATTGCTTCATCACACTCACCACTATCGGATTTGGAGACTATGTTGCACTGCAGAAGGATGCAGCTCTCCAAAAAAACCCACAGTATGTTACCTTTAGCTTTGTCTACATACTAGCAGGGCTCACAGTCATTGGAGCTTTCCTTAACTTGGTTGTTTTACGTTTTATGACTATGAATGCAGAAGATGAGAAAAGAGATGCTGAACATCGTGCTCTGCTTACTCGAAACGGTCATTCTAGTATTCACACAACAGACACAAGCTCCTCAGCTGGTGGATTTCGAAATGTATACGCCGAGGTGCTTCATTTCCAGTCCATGTGCTCTTGTTTGTGGTATAAGAGCAGGGAAAAATTACAATACTCTATCCCAATGATAATACCTCGGGACTTATCCACCTCAGACACATGTGTTGAGCAAAGCCATCCCTCCCCTGGAAGATATATGGGCACAACATCCAATGGATGCATTTGTAACACACAACATTCAGCCATCAGCTCTGTATCTACAGGACTCCATAGTCTTTCTGCATATCGAGGACTCATGAAGAGGAGAAGCTCTGTGTGATTAAAAAATAAGTTTTATAATAAACTACTGAAACCTAATTGTTATATATAACAGATTTACTGTACATATACCTAGAATTAGCATCAAATTTTTCCACAAAAAAAATAGCCCATTTCACTGTCTATTTCATAATTCATCATGATCTATATGTCATTTTTTTCTACAGATATGTTAACCAACTGTTTGTAAAAGAGAAAGCAGGTGTTTCCCATGTTGACAAGTAAAATAAAGCATCTGTAAGCTAGAAAGGGGTCTTCGATAAGCCAGTATATTCAGAGCATTGGGGGTTCATGACAAGAGCTGCTGTTGCCTGCTACCAAAGCTAGCATAAATGTTAATAACCTTTTAGAACCTGTTTGTTGTTACAGTATATGCAATTACTCACTGAGTTAATTCCAGTGCTAATTTATTTTTGTATTATAAATCATTTTCCTAACTAGTTTGTTTCTAAATCGTTATCATCTGTTTTAACCATCCTCTAGTATAGTGTTTGCCTGTTACATGCTATATGTTCGTATAGTACCGGGGGAAAACAACCATTTTTAACTTCATATGTTGTGGACTACATATCCCATAATGCTGTTACAGCTATAATGCTAGCAATACATCAAGGAAAATGTAGTCCAAAACATATGGAGTGCTGAGAACTTCTTACATCTGATATTATGTTGTTTCAACTACAATGGGCAAGGTAGCTTCCATGATGCTTTGCTGTCCTGTTTGGGTGTTAACTACAGGTAGAATTCCTAACATTTTGCCCCCACAATTCCATGTTCTGCATCTTTTGCGAAACTTCATGTCCCATGATTCATTTCTAGCCTGTTAGGGTAGGCTACTATAGATTGTAGATGAGTCATGCAAATATAGACTTGTTCAACCAACAAGTGTAGACTTACCAAACGGACCTCTATGTTCTAGTTTGATTCCTTATTTACATCCTCACCTAAAATATTGTCCATTTGTTTTGTTGCATCCTCATTAGCTGTAAAAACACCATCTATTTAACACGATCCTGTAATTTATTCAGATGGCTGACACTGATAAACAAAACACTTTAAACATGTCTGCTGAATTTGAGCTAAATGAAAAATGTTAGTACTTATGTTAATCAGGAGAAGAACTGAAGTTTTGACTTTGGTATGATATCATCAAAACGTCTTCGATTTGCTAACCATTTACAGTTGAAACTATGCTTTGCACTTTAACCTTGATGAATTGAAATAGATTTCGTAAATTTGTAAATCTATTTTGCACCTTAAGCCGATTTGAATTGAAACATTTAATCGAAACCCGAAGATTGTTTTAATCTTTTTTTTAAAAGAGGAATTGTCTTGTCCCAGGACTCCACATTCCCAGTAAACGCTACATTGTTCTTACTGGAGTGAGTAGTGCAGTGTGGGTAATTATGAAACATACTTCCGTTAGTGGGAAACGTTATCGCTGCATGATTCCTCAGGTGAGCTCGTTCACGCTTGGGCATCTCCTGAGAAAGGCCATTTCACTGTGTGCACACCTGGGCGTACCATCTAGTGCTGTGAGTATGCATGCATTTTGATGGAGCCCATATACATGGCACAGGTTAATTTAATTTACATGGGACGTTCTGACTGTAAATTATAACATAAATTGTTTGGTATTTTTTAATTAAAATAATCAATTTATAGCTAGCGTTTTGTTCAGGTTGTGACCATGAGACTTTAAACTCATACATTGTGTCATTAATGTCAGATGACCTCATTACTAGACATTTCCTACAAGGTGGACATTAAAGGGTGGATTATTTCGCAGAAAGAGGGTTTACTAAGCTTACTGAATGGTAATTTTCCCAAATACCTCAGTGGAAGAATTGCTATTCACTAAGCAGTATAAATCATTGTTCTACTAAGAGAATTTTGCCCTAAATTAAAGCATCGAAAGAATGGCCATTGTAAGCCATGCAAATCTTTTTTTGTTTTGTTTAATTTATACCTTTGTTTGAAGTCTCACAATTGAATTTATTACCTTTATTACCTATTACCTGTGATTACCTTTGTTATTATTACTATATCAAGGCCAGGTTGGCCGGTAAACAAAACATATGATTCAATTCTAACAGAACATGTCCGACCTAAAGGTGACACGGACCCCGCCCAAATAAGCTAACATTACAAAGGATATTTGGTAATTACATAAAGGTGACATGGATATGTAATGAGTTACAGATACCTAGGGCTGGTTTCTCTAAGTAAGGGTTTACTCTGCTTATTGAATAGCAATTTTCCCATAGACTTCAATGGAGGAAATGCTATACAGCAAGCAAAGTAAACCATTTTTCAAGAGATTCCAGCCCGTAGTATTTATATAAATTATATGATATGCCATGTGTTAGAAAGGAAGGTAGACAGTAATGTAGCAAACATTGGAGACAGGCTGTAAGATTGCGATAAGGAGAGGACCTAATGGAGAAAGGACAATTCCTCCATTAAACCTCTGCCATTTTTTCAGTCTCTCTTCAGGTCAGTGGTGGAACCCTGAATCCAACATCATTGAACTATTGTTTCTTCTCTGAGGTTGTTCTGTTACCGATTATAATTAATTCACATTTAGGGGCTTATTTTAATTAACTCCCACTCTCCTAACACCTCAACCCTTTGTCACTAAATGGCGTCCTACATGCCTTTAGATACATATAACATCTATTGATTCTAATATTATTAACTAACCTAATTGCCCTTTATGTACCAGTCTGAGTTGATTTGTCAGAATACATTGCAAGTGCATAGCAAATGTAGCGTTGCACACTGAGTTGTCTTAGTAGTATACCCCAACCACAAACAATTGACAATCAATGCAGTCTTGGGCTTCAGCTCTGCCATGTGTCCTGTCCACCTGTTTAGTGATTCCCTCCCCCCCGCCCCCCCCACGACATACCTCATAGATTTTCTCTAAAGCATCCCTATATTTATGGATTGTTTTTCCTCATTTTACCCCACTTTCCCCTATAAAAACTTGTTAAAACTCAGAGTATTTCAAATATTAAAAAAGTAATTGGTAAGGAAAAGATCTATTTCACTAAACTCAACACTCTGTTTAATATACTTAGTAACTGTGTTCATCAGAAGAATTACAGTACCTATATTTATGATATTTGAAAGAACTAAACTAGATAACACATGAATCAAGATACATTCTTCATTTTTCTTTTCTGGTTCATAACCACATCAACGCCTACACTACCCGAGCAGCATGTCCTCACCAGCTACTTCCACCACCGGTGTCCTCTGTTCTTCTGCCAGCACCTGACTTTCCTTCCCTCGATGCATAAATAAGACAAGCTTAGCAGCTACCTTCTGCTGATGTTGGCAAATATAATGTGCAAGATTCAATAATTCACGTATCCATAGCTCCTGGAAACATTCATCTTCAATTAAGACATAGCTTAACTCAATGTATAATTACATATTGTATATGCATTGCATTTGTATTCATAGAAAGTACATAACCCTGTATTTTCTGTATTGTTTATGGTAGACATGAAAATTAAGTCTTCCTGGAAAAATTTTTTAATTTTATTAAGTAAATCTATTTTAATACTAAAAAGAGAGATAAGGAAATGAAAGGTAGAAATGGGGATATTGTCCAAATGAGGGGTGAATTAGTGATACGATAATATAGCGTTGGGGTATGTTGAGAAGACGTAGAGGCAATTTGACACAAGCATTGGTGGATAAAACATAACAAATATCTAAAGCTTCAGATCTTGAAAAGTCTGAAGAGCGGAAGGGAGCTTGTATATAAAATAAAAATAATGGGATGATGAGAGAATATTACTGTGAGGAACAAAATAATATAAGATAGATAGATAGAGATAGAGAGAGAGAGAGAGAGAGAGAGAGAGATGAGGCCAGAAGAAACCTAGCGCAGAACCCAAAGCAGATATCCAGAGGTAACATTCCAGTACAGAGACATAGTATATTATGTCACGAGTAAACAGTCACATCGATGTCCTGTCTAATGTGGTGTCGAGCAAGGACCTACGAAAGTTATGATTTATAATTCATCTTTTTTATCAAAAAGATTTTGTTTGTCTCTTGCATTACACATTAAGCAACGGGTATTAAAGTAATATTACATTTGAAAATCCTTATCCTGCCTCCAACCTAATGGTTAAAGGATAAAGGATCTGGGCTGACCTGACTTAGTCGAGTTTCTAGGTATTGATAGTCCATGTTCTAATGGTCTATGATGGATTCTGCTGGAATGTAAAGCAACAATAACTGAAATAAGAACATAGAAAATTAAACAGTGAGTGTCTTCTAATGTCAGCATTGCAGTTATAAAAGTGGTCATTTTTCAACAATTTACTTGGAATGGATACTGTGCTGATTGTTATGAACTGACATGAATTCACAATAGTGTCCTTCAAATGGCCAGTTCAGGACAATGTAAAACAATTGTGTACATACAGAAAAGATCAGATTGTGCACCAAGTGCTAGAAAGTTTATCTGCTCATAACCACTTGTTCGTATATTTATGTGGGACATAGCTCTCTTTAAAACTGCCCTTCCAACTTGAGTTACTACAGATTCAGAGAGTCAGGGTACTGAGATATCACATCATATATAGGTGCCCAAAGGTTTTCCTGGAGCCAAGGTGCAGAAAGAGGCTTCAGTGACAGTCGGTGCTCATTCACTCGACACACCAGGCACTGCTAACAGTGGACCTCGCTCTCCTATCAGTGAACATTATGGATGAGAGGTTTTAGTACATTATTCTGTGATGTTATGGTAGACTTCCCCCAATACTCCGGCTTTGCTCTGAACATTTTATGCCATTGAACTGGTTTTCATTTTATATCTCTCATCATAAATCTAGTTCTTGATATGATTTTCGTAGAAGGGAGCAATCCACCCATCCATGAATATCAACATAATCAGAGTTCGAAGAGATTACAAGAAATCTTAAGTTCTACTTCATTTCCTGAAGAACATTACATGTAGTCTATATTCTTTTAGGTCTTTTAGATTGAACTTCTTGGGTCAACAAAGCTGTGCATAATTCTGTGCCTGAATACCTACTATAAGAGGACCCTGTGCACTGAGCCATTCTGCTCCTATACTGCTAGTCTTGGAGATTCTTTACAGGCTGACCTGCAATTTGGCCAAATCATGGACCACCCAAAACATTCAATGCCGAACATGTTCGGTTGGGTCGTAATTCTGCTTCTAGCCAGTGGTGCCAAAAAAAATAATGTGATTGATGAATATATATAAATATAGATCATTTTACTGCTCCTCCTGGATATTATATTATGTACATATTTTGCAGCACACTGTGGCCCATTAAACCCAATAGTCTATATAAATGGATAAATTAAAGAGAAATTCAGATCCTTCTCTCCTTTGCTTGGAGTCTGCTACCTGCTTATTAGACTATATATTTGAAAGGTTTTTCCCCACTGGGAATGTGAGAGGCATCATGATATAATGAGTTGTAAAGAATCTCTCATTTAGAAAAGTTTTTAAAAAATCTAATTTCTGTCAATTTTAACCTACATTTTGGTACTCAGCAGTTAACGTTCCAAAATTCTCTGTTAGTAAATAAGCCCCTCAGTTATCATCATATTCTGATACTTTGATGAGAACGTAAGGCAGACAAAGAACAGACAGAATTACAGCTGTAGACACCTACACTTGCAGATATATAATGATGGGGAATGTAGGAAATGGACTAACATCATTAGACTGGATTTACACACTTTGTTTTGTATTTTGAGCACAGTCTGTCCTATAATCCAGCACTATAAGCATATATCGCACGTGTTCATCATTTACAAACCTGCTGATCAAATTTTGGATCTTTTATTAAATAAAATTATCATAGCTGAAGCCTCGAATGTAATATTTTTGGATACATTTTACAATGATTTTTTTCAAAATAATAAAATATCAGAAAATATATCATTTACAAAACATATATTAATATTTAAAAAAATAGCTTAGTAGAAATCTCTTTCCTAATAATTAATAATTTTAAACTTTTATCCAAACATATTTTCAATCAAGGTAAGTAATAATAAGTTAGGTAACATTGGCCACACAGTATCCAGAGAAAGTACAAATAAGCTATTCGTCTGTCCTGAACGATGGAATGCCGGGAGATCCCCAGCCAATCACAGACTCTGACTGACTGCTGACATCACAGCCTTGTTTTCTTATGAGTTACTGTCACTGAGGGTTTGGACACTGTGATGCAATCACAAGATGGCCGTCTCCACGCTGAAACACTCACAGATCTTCATTGAGTAATTAGCATTAAACAGGCTCTATTTTGTCTAACTCCTAATAATGTTAATGTGCTGGGAATTGCTTGAAACTGCCTGCGATCATATGTCAAAGTGCGATAAATAAAACAAATGTCTGCTCATGACCTAAACTATTAATAAACTCAGCTCTGCAGTCTTGTTCCATCACACCCCTTGGGATAAGAAATATGTTTGAATTGCTATGTTCCGTGAGTGTCTGTAGTCCATATGCTGTAGTCCCTTGTGCTTTTTCTTGGACAGACTGATGAAAGATACAAAGTATCAGCCTGAAATATGTATTTTAACATTTAATAGTTCATTATTAATTCTCTAATTTCCATGTTATTTTATAGAAATTAAGATTTTAACTTCCTGCCCGGTGCCTGTTTATTATTAACAAATTACAGAATATGACAGAGTCACCCAGTAACTATATATCACAAACACCCCAAGGCATTCAGGAGTATTTAAATAACTGGCGGGCTTGCAGGGGAAGCATGAATTTTGTATATTCAGTGGCACCAACCATACTTACTATCCACACTACAGACTGAGAATTGAAGGAAATTGCATTAAATCTGGGACTGTCTGTCAGTAACATGACAAAGCATGAGATGGAAAATGTAAGAGAGATATTTGCTGTGGGGTGTGTAGATTGACTACTTCCTGTGATAGACCACCATTGATATTAGCACCTTCCACCACCACGGCAGTTATGTAGGAAGTTCATTTAAACTCATCCCTTGCTATATTTCTAGGAAGGCATCAGAATTGTAGAATAGGTTTAACCTCATAGCTCCATACACCATATTGGTGATGTTTGGACATTGTAATGTGCAGAGGACTATAGAGACAGAATGTAACACTGTCTTGGTGACCTGACCTTCTAGGCTATCTCCAGCATTCTATCCCAACTGACTGTACTATTCTACACTATTCCTGAATGGTGCATTATCAGTAGCCGCTGAATACATGTGTGTTAGCACTATATATAGTTTGACAATTTTCTCTCCCATCACTCCTCTGACATATTACCGCTCTGTCAGTCTTTGAACTGGCTTCCCGTGCCCTATAGGATTCAATTTAAAATACTAACCATTCCCTACAAAGTTCTAAACAACTCTAACTCAACTACATTTCTTCATGAATTCAGACACATATCCCTCTCTGCCAATTACCTTCTCCCGTCCCCTGCTTGTAACTCATATTTACAGGACTTCTCTTGGGCAGCTCCATTCTTTTGGAACAGCCTGATTCCCCCATCAGACTCTACCCTGGTCATTTAAGAAGTCCCTTAAAACTTATCTCTTCAGAACAGCCTTGGGCCTCCCATGGTAATTGTCACTTCTCAAAATATCTCTTACTATTTCAGCTTAATTGGTGGGTCCAGACTGCCCTTCACTTTCCCTTCCAATGCTGCCATATCTTGCCCTTGGCTACTATCCCCATGCTGGCTGCTATCCCCACGCTGTCACTTGGCTGCCATCCCCAAACTGTACTTCCTACTGTATTTTTATAACCCACCTCCTCTAGATTGTAAGCTTGTTCGAGCAGAGCCCTGAGCCGTTGTAATAGTTTGTCTCATTTGTATTTGCATTTACATAAATGCCAATAATAATAATAATTATAATAATATTAATATTAATAATTGCAATGAAAATTGCCCAGATTGCTCAATTAGAGTCCATATTGAATGATTCTGCCAGACTTATTATTATTATTCTCACCATTTAAATTGCGTCAACAGATTCTGTAGTGCTTTACAATGTTATTAATAGGAAATTACAGGAAAACTTACAGGAACAATAGGTTGAAGAGGGTCCTGCTCAAACGAGCTTACAGTCTATAGTAGGTGGGGAGTAAAACACATTAGGACAGGAAATAGCAATCAAATAAGGTGGGAGTGAAGCAGGGCTGGAGGAGAGAGTAGAGTGCTGCCCTTTAGGAGAGAGCAAGAGACAGGTATGTGAGGTAGAGGTTAGTCTGGGAGGCCAAACTCTTTCCTAAAGAGATGGGTCTTAAGGCACTTCTTAAATGATTGAAGACTAGGGGAGAGTCTGATGGTGGTAGGCAGGCTATTCCATAGAAAGGGAGCTGCCCGCGAGAAGTCGTGCAGGCGAGAGTTGGCCGTACAGGTGCGAGCAGCGGACAGGAGAAGATCATGGGCAGAGCGGAGGGAAAGAGGAAGCGCATACCTGTGGATCAGTGAAGAGATATAAGAGGGGCTAGAATTGTTCAATGCTTTATAGGGTTAGCACTTTGAATTGACTCATATATGATAGAAGAAGCTATTGTAAGGACTGACAAAGGGGTAAGGTGTGAGAGGACCGACTAGAGAGGAAAATCAGTCTGGCGGCAGCATTCATTGCAGACTGTAGCGGGGCAATACGGCTTTTGAGAAGACCAATCAGGAGAGGGTTACAATAATCCCTTCTCAGTCTCTCCGCTCTGCCCATGACCTTCTCCTGTCCGCTGCTCGCACCCGTACTGCCAACTTCTCACAGGAAATTACTAGAGCATGGACAAGCTCCTTGGTATCATCTTGTGTCAGTAAGGGACTTATACACCTTACTCTCACACCTCACCTCTCTGTCAGCCTCTACTCTGACTTCCTGTTTAATTTGGATTTGGTGATCATGCTTACCTACAATGCTTTCCATAACTGTGCCCCCACATATACCTCCTCTTTTCTTTCATTAGCTTCTTCACTCCCCCAGCAACCTGTTACTATCCTGTTCTATCCTGCAGGCCTTCTCCAGGGCTGCCCCCTCCTTATCGAATGTCCTCCTACATCACATTTGACTCTCCTTGGCTCTGCAGTTTTTTAAAAAAATACTTAAAAACAAATGTATTTAGAGATACCTATCAGCTCGCCTCTTAGCATCTTATCCCTCACAACCCTTGTCTGCCATGTCTTATCTACCATGCTTCCTCCTCCATACCTCCCCTCCCACCATTTCAATTATATCCAGAACATTCCCAATACACCTCCCTCTGCATATTTGTCCCTCATCCTCTTAAAGTTCATTTGGGCAGTGCACCTAGTGTTCCCGTAGGTTTTGTTAGAATGAATTGTTTGTCTTGTCTTACCTATTGTATAGCATTGCGAAATATGTTGACATTATATAAATAATTGAAGTTGTGATTGCATACGTAATATATTAACATGTAAATATAGATTAATTTATTTTTATTGCTCCTTCGTATTTCCCTCTATTTCTCCCTTATTTATGAATACAATCCACATTTAGTGACTGTCCCCTAACCACCAATCATCTTTTTTTCTAAGCCAGGACCGGAACTACGAATCATGAAACCAATAAATGGCTCATTAAAGGTCCATTATTTTTGTTTATGATTTGTCCATATGGCGACTTAAGTTCGGATGAATCTCCAATCGCTTCAAAATTTGCACAAATCGCTATAAACCAAACGATGTCTATTATTCACTGTATGGGGTTTTATGCCTCAATCAGACACGCTACACAGATTATATCAGCAGCTGGGAATATATTTACTCAAACAAAGTAACTGATCCTTACTATTACAGCTGATACTGTACATTGTCTAACTGCTTATTCCCCCAATATTTCAGCAACAAACAATACGCAAAATATATGAAAAACTGTTCTTTGAATGATCCAGTTCTTCATGTTTTAATTGTCTCTGAGCGCATCGATGAACCGATAATAATACCTTTTTATAATGTTTAAAAATGTTATATGTTTACTATATCCTAGTTCTACTCAGTAATAATGGGGCAAAGCTGTTTTAATGGTTACCTATCTCAAAGTTCACAAAAAACTTTCTTGTGGCCCCCTTGTGGCCAGATAACAGAACTGTTCTAAGGATAACAATTTAACAGTATTTAATAATAAATATATATTCTTGACAATTAGTACTACATAGAGATAACATTATATACACAGTAAAAAGTGACAAAAAGCAGACTTGAACAATATTTTAAAGTGGACGTGATATTTTTTTCCTTAATATTATAAGAGAAGCTAAATGTGTAGTCAACCACAAAAAAAAAAAAAGAGAAAGAAAGTCGTACAATAACTACAATGTAATTAAACAAGACATTCTCTTCAGTTCCGGTGTTTGAATGAAGCTAAAATACTGCAGTAATCAGTAAATTACACAGGATTGAATATACCATTCCGTGGTTATTAAATACTGCATCAGCTCCCTGAGTCAGCAAATATTAACATTGCGTATCATATGTACACAACCAGAGGAGACGATTACAGGATGTGAGTGTCTGGATTAAGGGAACAGATGGCAGTAAATACAATACAATGGGTCTCTGGGTGTCACAAAAACTTAGAATGATCTCTTAATATACTATGATTCATTATTCATTTCAACTGGTAACACAGCACAGTCACTAGGCATGCACAGACTCCACATGTTTGTATTTCATTAATTGTCGCATCATATTTAGAGAAATATTTCCTTAAAATGTTGGGCTTAGTTGACAACTTGTAAAATCTAGATAAAAAAAAAAAAATCTAGGATGGGAAAATTAGGGAACTTTTTTCAAACAATTGTGCCAAAATTGTAGTTGATTTTTAGCTCACTATTTTGTGAAAAGAACCCGCACATCTAATTTTTTTACATGGTAAAATATGTAATTATTCTTGCTTACTGGATAAAGTACAGGTTTTTTTTCATTATTTTTTTACAACCAAGATGAAATTAATACTGCTCAGTAAATAATGTCTTATAATAAAGTAATGCTTCAAGATTTATTAATGCAAAATCTGTAAACCATTTCTGTTACACATAAATATTATCATTTTACCTAAATAAAGGAGTCTTATTAACACACTGTAATTTTATTGTGTGGATGATGAGTGTGCTCCTGCATCTCTACATGAATCAGAACCAGCACATCAATTCTCTCGGATTCACTGATGGTGAGGGAGGCTTTGGCCCTCATTGCAGATAATAGTCTTCCTCCAAAGAGTGAGGAGCTGTCTTGTCTTTCGCACAAAATAATATTGTGTTTTATTTATGGCGGCTCCAATCCTTAAGGGTTTACTTAATATTATCAATTTTACGATTAGGAAATATCCAAATGAATTAACATACAACTTTATTATATACCATGCCAAACCTTATATTTCACCTGAGTACTTAGGATTCTATGTAGAGATTTACACTATAAAATTATTTGCAATAACAAACGACTGTTACAATCATGTGTGATTAATCTATCAAATGACATCAGATTCTGGTTAAGGTAATCAATTGTACAATGCAGGCCAAAGCAACTATCACGGGTTATGAACCAAATTCAACCTTCAGAGTACCATAAAACAACCTATGCCTTCAATAGCAAGAGTTACTCCTATATGCCACTCATCAACTGATCACTGCGGACATGCTATCATGAAACATAAGGTTGACAAAAGGCATACCACAAATGATACATCTATGATTGAGTGAGGGCTTATTAACTCAATGGTTTGTTACTGAGATAGGTAGAATATAATATTGAGGCATATACCATAATAGATAACAGTCCCAAACTGTGAATAATCTCTTGGGTTTGATGTATGTATACTGTATAGTCAATATTAAGTACTGATAGCAACTCATCAACAGATCTGATAAGTTGGATGCATCAATTGTTTTTTATCCAACTGACGTCACAAAGAAACTCAATCACTTATTTACAACAAACAAAACAGTCTTTTTATATAATTCAGCTCTACACCTTAATAGAAATAATAGCAGATACAATTAATATTACTTTCCCAACATGGAAGGTACTTTATTTTCCCCGTCAGTATTATTCAATGCCAAATTTACTTATAGAGAAATTAAATTCATAAGTTATCACCAATATGTGTTAACTGAGAAGAATGCTCCTAGTGACATTCCAAGATGGTTGCTAGAGTGAAGGCTGATGTATGCTGAGGTCTTCGTTCTTCAAAGATCTATACCCCTCTGATGATACAATGGTCTGCTTATGGTCCTGTGATACCATCTTTAATTTTATTTAACACAACTAATAAAGCTGATTTTGAGCGAAGATAACGCTAGTTTTTTTAATATATTTTTATCTTACTCTCTTCCCTTTACCCCTAACACCTCAACTATCCATTTTTAAAAAAATCATTTTAATAAATGCTACTTTTAAAAGCAATTTTAAGTTAATTAATGTTGGTCATGTGCCTATGATGTCACATAACTGTTAGTTTTGAATGTTCCTGTCCTATTTAAGCAGATACTCTGTAAACACATTTGAGAAAGCCTATGTTTTAGGTGAAACGAGTTATGTGTACTTTATATATTGTTTTATACATCTATTTTATTTTGTCACTACTTTTATTATTTTTTATTATTAAAGTACTTTTTTCTGCTGCTGCTGGATACCTGAGCTATATCCTAGGTGGGGATAATACCACTTAAGCGCAGTGGATTGAGCAAACCATACTTTGCTCTTAAGCATGTGAGTAGGTCTTCTATCTTTTTTTTTGTGATTCTCACCTTATATCATGGTGTACTCTATTGTGGTTTTATTTGTTTCTCTCTCTCTCTCTCTCTCTCTCTCTCTCTCTCTCTCTCTATATATATATATATATATATATATATATATATATATAAAAAAAAACCAAGATATCAACTACCATCTATACCTGTATCCTTGAGTGGGGATCATACCACTTCACACGCTTTTCTTGGAGCAATATCTATGGCTCCATCACATGTGAGTGTGCACATTTTATATCTACACCTATCCCTGCTCCATAGCCCTACATGCTTCACCATATACGACTTTTATTTATTTTTTAACAAGGATACCTCCTACTGCCACAAGCATACGAAGAATTCAACCCAGACTTGATCCATAGGCGGAGATTTTTCCGCCCATGCTCATAAGTTGGAGCTGTATCAAAGCTCCTAAAAAGTGTGAGTGCACATTTTTTATTTGATTTACTTCATTCCTAGTTTTATAGACTACATTATTGTGTTACAAATATCCCAACAGAACACTAGGCTGGAGCCACATGGCCTGTGGTCATTGCTCTCCACAAAGGTCCATTTGTCATTCTGTAGCTCTGGGTGCAATAGGAAGGTACATATTAAAGATGGACTCTAATTAGAGGAGAATAATCCATATATCCCAGATTATCTATTCAAGGTCTTTGCTACCATCTTGTTTTAATTTAAATGCACAATCTGTCTACAAATTATCACTGAGTGTCAAAAAAGATTGAATACCAAAACATGTGCTACATCCTTTTCCCACAGGGTGCCTCTAACACTTGCTATATGTTTCTATTTTAATAAAATCACACTTTTGTAGATAGTACTTTACATATATTAATAATATGTGCAGTGGTTTGAAAATAAAAATAGAGAGTATGTTCCTTTAAAACCGGGTAACAATGTAATTTGCTCTCTAGCAGCAAGTGTGTTACATTGACAAATAGCCCAACACTTCATATGCTTTAGAGCGGTGAAAGAATAAGACCCTAGGGCATCCGTGGAGTTGATGTTGTTGGCTTGGGTTCGATGCTTGTTCTGAACGAATGTGCATGCATTAAACATATCATCTTGAACTGGCCACAGGGGTCTTTCATCTGCAAATGAACATGGGAATACTCAGTTTGTTCTGGGGTTAGCAGCATATAAATAGGTATTTGATGTAGTTTTCTTTTGTTTTATTCTCAGTCTTTTATTTTACCCATGAATCCTTCTACTCACTCACTGCCCATGAAATCCCTTCATTACTGTTATCCTGTATGTGATAAGCAGAGGGAAAGGTGTCTTAAGACATTCTCAAGTGCTGGTAAACATTTAATGAGACAAAACAAAACAAACTATTATAACAGGTATATAGTGCAATATGTCTGCAGTAAATGGGTGAAGATACAATTACAGTGTGTAGAGCTATCCGTTAGCTCTGCTGTGCTGCACTTGGGTGATGCAGACCCCGTCTGAGGATATATGGTGTATCCTGTTGTCCGTGGTGAATAATAAACATATAAGTCCAACTGTAGTGTAGTATATTTTTGGATAAGAGATAGAATAGTTAAGTATATAGAAATCCACTCACAATATATGGAGCTTCCTAACTCCTCTAGGAAAACAGCATAAGATAGTACAATCCCCATTCAAGAATCTTGTTAACTGGTTGAGGTTCTCATGGTGATATATGTAGATTTAAAAAAATTCAATAAAAATAAATATATATATATATATAATGCTCACTGTGGTATGCAGAAAATAGTAAAATATTGGAGAGGTACTCACTGGTACAGAGAAAAATAATAATTTTGCTCAATCCTTAAAGGATACACTATAGGCACCAAGACCACTTCAGCTCATTGAAGGTGTCTCTGTGTGCAATGTCCCTGTCCACCTGAGTTTTAGAGAACTGTAATGTTTGAGTCTCCTAAAGACATTGGATGTCCTCACATTTTGCATGAGGACATCCAGCATCAGTGAAATCCTCATAAGAAATTATTGATTCAGTCCTTTCCTATGAGGAGTACCTAATGCACTTGCAGCATTCCCCCATAGGTTCCCCCATCGAATGACGTTGAAGGAGGCAAAGGGTCACCCCAGTGAATAAAGGGTAAGCGATAAAAAGGTTTTTAAAACTTTTTCTGCCAGTGGGGAGGAAGGGGCAGTGGGGAGCTCACCAGGGAGGGGGCTCTAGAGGGCATTTTGTTGGACCAGAATAGAGAGACTCTAGATTGGGTTGTTTGAACTGGCTTCTACATTCAATTAATAGTGCTCGAAAAACTACCACCTTTATACCTTACTACTGTAGATATTTTATTCATTGAGGGGTATGGCTTACTGATCAGAAAATATCGTCCACTATACCATATACACTATGGTTTTATATCTATCAAATTGACTACTTGTATTAGGATTAATCTTTTTCTAAAACCAGAAATAAAATGTAGCTTGTGGAACAATGAAACATAGCTCATAAAAACTGATCAGTCAGCTGCGGCACTCAACATGTTAAACTGAAAACATATATTTTACATGATTTCATGTGATATGATTATATTCTAATTATATTGAGATAAATGATAATGCTAATAAAGAGGTACAGTATGAGATTTACTAAGAACAAAGAGAAACGTAACAAGCTAAGAGCTTGAAAGGCATGGAAGCTGGAACATCAATTTTGAGAACATAATAAAAACCCTTTCATGATACATTTGTCTACATTTTCTTTTCTCTTGGTTCCAGCCACCTCTAATTCCTTGTCCAGTAATTGTATTAGTTGGAAGTGAATGGCCTTTTTATTTAATGTTAGCTGTTCCAACAAGGCATCTGTGCCAGTCACTAAGCTCTGCTGTCTCCGTGCCAGCTGTCCTTTCTGCCAGATCTAAAGCCCACCTCGCTAGATGGGAAGTAGGTTACTTTATCATGTTGAATTATTCGGCTGCGTTAGATGTGAATGATTCTCTGCCAACATCAAGGTACACGAGCAATGTTTTAACATTTTGGATGTTAGAAGATGGCTTGGTAATTTTTTGGCACTGAGATGATTACAACGCTTCTATGATGCTGG